GCCCTCTCTCTCTCTCTCTCTCACTCGCTTATTCAAATACTGCGATGTTTGCCCACGTTTCATTCCTCTGCTCCTTTTCGCCACGTTTTCTGTTTGTTGCTGTTCGCTGCATACTTATGCATTTTTTATTTACATGCCAGCATGCAGCCCACCCCTGCCCATCCCATCACCGCTCAGGCAGCGAGTGCCATTAAATCTATTGCCAAGCACGTCCTGCCCCGCGGCGCCTTCGCGCCTCTCGAGCGAGCACTGCATAGTGTTAAATTGCCCAGCAGCCCGTCACACATTTGCATTCCATTGCAGAGAGACAGCAGCTCGTGTATCTGGAGGATGCACACAGAGCCGAGAAGCTCCGACGCACACGCAAATATATTTTATTTTGAGCTGTTTGTTTAGCCTTTTTCAAGACAAATTTAGCCTTTTTATATTCGGTTATGCTCTGCAAAGGAGTTTACTGGCTCAATGGAATGTCTGCGTATAAACACTTGGGATTACTAATGGCTTTTAAAGGGCAGGGATCCTCTAAGGTAACGAGACTTCCTGACTTTTCGAAATTGTCGAGTTGAATGCCAAAAGATTTCTGTATTTGAACACCTTTGACTGCTTTTTGGCTCAGGTCTCTCCCTTCCTAATAACTCAACTCCAATTTGAGCCTTAATAATTTTTTCCCAATTCGATTTCCCATCGATATCTCTCCATTTAATTGGCATTAATCCCGCTCTGCTCATCACTATCCATTCGGCTCCTCTCTTCCCGTTTCTTGTGCTGTGGCCCTGAGTCTGTTCAGCTTCTTCAGCTTGGGGCAATTATCCGTGGCGCACAATGGCCACAGAGTCATCAATGGCTACATCAGCCACGGTGTAAATCAATAGCAGCTACTCTGCTAATCGGTTGCTGGCTTCTCCTGCTCATCCATCTTCATCTTCATCTCCATCTCCTGCTCCATCTCCTGCTCCCTCCATTCCATCCCGTTGCCTGCGACAATATCAACAATTGTAATTCCCCCAACATTAGTTGCGTCAATATTTAAGAACTGCCAATTCCCGGGCAAATGTATTTGTGTCTCTTTATGAGAATGGAAACTTGAGTGTGTAAGGATGTATGCGTGTGTGTGAGGGTGTGTGTGTATGTGTGTGCTTGCCTTGGCATTCCCCTGTTGACAAGTGCTGCTTGTCATGGCATTTGCATTGGAATTGGAATTGGTATTGGCATTGGCATTGGCATTGAGCGAAATCGTTGCACACAAAATCAAATTCGCAATTTGCACCAAAGATTTGATTGACATACGTAAACCTTGAGATACGAATTTCTATTTTCGATATCGATTTATGCGTTCTTTTCTATCTATTCTCTGTGCAACTGTGCGAATGAGTAATGTAATGAAACACAAGTAATTGCGCTCTAGCCGGGAGGGTCTGACTAGGAGATACCTTGACGAACGGATAGATGGGATTGAGTAGATCTAGCTGATACAGTAAATGGGTATTGGAATGTAATAATGGAATAGATGGACAAGCAGATGGAAAACGAGTGGAGCTATTTGAGATAGTGAATGACTAAAGAGATGGAGCCCAAGCTAGAAGAAGAACTCAAGCTAAAACAAGAGTAGAACGAGGGCTAGGACAGACCTAGATAGATTGACAGACAGAAATTAATGTGGAATACCATTGAACGAAAGAACAGATGATGAAATGAGTAGAACTAGCTGATATAGTAAATGACGAACAGATGGAAGACAACTGGAGCTATTTGATATTATGGAATTGATATAGTGAATGACTAATTGTATGGAACCCACGTTCGAAGAAGAAAATACTCAAAGAGTGAATGAGTTATATAATGAAACCAAAGTAGGTTTAGGACGAGGATATACCTGGACAAATGGACCGACGGAAATCGGATCGAATGAGTCCGACTGCGACTTGACGACTGAATGGAAAGTGGAAATATGGAACTAGCTAATCTAGATCTAGGGAAAGAATAATATAATTGAGCCAGATTAAGTGCTCTAATTGTACGAAATACCTTGAGCACTGAGCAAAAATTTTCCACTAGTGGCTAAATTTTCAAGCTTACCGAGAAGGAACTGTTGCTTCTTCCTACATCCCTAAACCAATATTCCCTCTCTAATCTTGTTCAATATGTGCTCAGATTATTTATACTACATATACAGATACAGAGGAGCGCAACAATCAGCTATTTATAGCTTTGTTGAATTTGTAAGCTAAACATGATAAATATTGATGGAATTTTGCATATTTTATACGAATATCTTGTTATTGGACCGCAGAGCTACAAGTGCTTACAGAGATTTTCGTTACAGGTAATTATGATTAGCCTTGGCAAAAGGTAAACAAACAAATCAGTGGAAGCACGTGAGCGCCTTTTTTGCTTTTCTTCTTCTTCTTCTTTGTTGGCTTTTGGCCATAGCAGAGACAGCTCGACTCGTGTTGCCAAAACAAAATGCTACAACCAGACACAGAGACACACACACTCACACACACTCAAAGATAGGCAAACAAAATCAATTTCCAGGCAGCCAAAAAGCATCCGACGGGGACGATTGCGCAACGCTCCACCTCCAGCTCCAGCTCCAGCTCCAGCTCCAGCTCCATTTTGTCCCGGCGGGCGAGTGAGTGAGCCACAGACCGCAGCAGCAGCCACAAGAGCCGTATAGCTGGAGGCACCACTACACACTCCCCACTGGCCACAAAAGTACTTATGTTCTCTTCTATCACGACTCTTTCTCTCTCTCTCTATCTCTGTCTATCTCTGTCTCTCTTGTGTACACACAAAACACGTGCCGCGTAATGGCGCGTAAATTGTTGCTACCATCTTAATGCGTTCCTAAAAAACCGCAATTTCTGCGTCGCAAAGACGCAAAGGAAAATGGCAATGGGAAGGGGAATAGATTGGGAATGGGAAAGGGAAATGGGAACGGGAAAAGGTGACCGAGGCAAACGTAGGCGACTGATAAGCGAGGGAAACAACACATGAAGTCCCAGAGACAGCAGCGAGGCGCAGCAGGATGCGGAAATGAACCAACTCAGCGAGCGAGCGAAAACAAGCCAAACAAATGAAATGAGCCCTAAAAAAAGGGTTTGCTTTGGGTTTGTTCTCCAAACACTATTCGCAGTAAACAAACTGCGTTTTCGTTTGCCTGAAGAGAGCAAAAGTTTTTACTTCAATTATAGCAGTATGTGTGCGTGTGCATGAGTGTGTGTGTGTGCCTGTATGTGGGTGTGAGTGTGTGCGCTGCTTGTTTCAGTTGAAGTTTAGCACAAACGACATTGAAGTCAAAGTGCTAACGCTGTTCCGACAGCTGATGAAAGAGATCCAGATTTGGTATTATTTGGAATACCCTTAACGTATGATAAATGGGTAAATAGGCTATGATGTTGCAGAAACTGAATCAGGATCCAGAGAGAAGTTTGTATAGGAGAATGTACTACTTGATGTATGAAACTGTATAAGTATAAGAGTATAGGAGTATGCGAGTATAAGAGTATAGGACTATGCGAGCGTATCAGAGTAGATCCTTCTAAAAGTATAAGAGTGAAAGCGTACACACATATTTAGCCATAGAAGTATAAGAGGGGATACATATTAAATTAGAAGAGTATCAGGTTAGATCTGTCTAAAAGTAAATGAGTGCAGGGTTGTATTTATATATAAGACAGGGTGTATATAGTACTATGAGAATATCTATATACAAGTATAAGAGTTGATACACATTCAAGTAGAAGAGTATCAGAGTAGATTTGCCTAAAAGTATTAGAGTGCAGAGTTGTCTTTATAAATAAGTATAAGACTTCATATGTATGTAGTACTATGATAATATCTAAGAAAATAAGAATAAGAAGAATATAAGAATTTTGGCAAACTAAAATATAATTATACACAGAATATTTATAAAATAGATTTTCTTAAGATCAAGCATTACTTATCGATAAATTTTTACATTTCTTTTATGGGTACTCCTCATGTTTGAAAACGAGAACGTGTTTCTCTTCGAATATTTTAGTGTGTACTCTCAAAGTTCTCTGTAGAGTATCTCCTAGTAGAGTATCTGCTAGTCGTTCACATTTTACTTGAGATGATTATTTAGTTTTTGGGCCAAATGGGTCTAATGTTGTGGCACTACGGCCTCGAAGCTGATGGCCAGCCGAGTGAGTCGAGCTGGTTGAGTCGCCAAGGCAATGCTCAGTGCCTGTCAACAGGCACATGAATTTTTAACGTTGGCCAGCTGCAGGTGGCACAGGTGAGCGTGAAGCGGCCCAGGCCCAAGCAGACAATGCTGCCAACAGGCTGTCCACTTGGCAGGCAGCCAACGAGGCCCCAGCCCCAGCCCAGCCCCATCCCCAGCCTCAGTCGCTGTCCTAGACCCAGAGCCAGAGCAAGAGTCTGGGCTCGAGTCGGGGAGGTGGGGGGCGCGGCCAACCAGTTGCGTTTAGGCGTGCGAGGCACGTTTGCTGCCCCTGAGCGATGGCGAAATGAATAAATGGGCAAATGGGCAAATGTCAGTGCCAAGGTGTCAAATTGTCAGCGCCCCACAAAAAAAAGAAGAAGAAGCCAAAAAAAAAAAAAAAAAATCCAAAAATAAAGAGGAAAAGAAAATGGCCAACTGAGGTTTAAAGATGTTTCAATTTCTGATTGCCTGAAATTTGATGTGGCGCACGGTGCGTATGAGTGCTGCAAACTGCTCGCCTTACCTACATATAACGCTATGTAGTAGGAGTCCCATCCAGCTCTCAAGGCTGCCAATATATATACACACATATATACATTATGTAGACGTCAGTTGCCCATGCCCGAAATTTGTAGAATTTAACCACTTGTTAAACAAAAATATTATTCAATAACAAAACAAATGTAACGTGTGCGCAAATTGTGCGCTGCTGCTCCTCGGCTCTCTCACTCTCGCTCTCTCTCTTTGGCGCTCTCTTTGCCGAGTTTCTACAATGCATACACACATATTTGTAGAGCACACCAATGAGAGCAACCCCGCAGTTCGATACGAGAGCTGAGCGAGTGCGGACGCGCGTAGCGGACTAAACAGGAGAAGAACCGTTCGAGCGAAGTTCAAGCAAATAATAAAACGCGTGCCAAAACCAACAACAACAACAGCAGCAACAGCGCCAAAAAAAATTGCAGCTGCAGCAACAGCAAGCAGAGCAGTGCGTGCACGCGTGTGTGTGTGAGAGAGAGAGAGGGATAGAGACATCAGTCAAGCAAAGCCTTTAGGCTTGCCATATGCACTCGAAGGCAACTGTAAATAATTGTAACTGTAAACACAGTCAGTAAGTGCAAAGACAGTTGAGAGAGCTCGAAAGTTTGAGACTTTGAAGCAAGCATCGACATGCCCGAAATCGTGGAGCTAAATGTGGGCGGCGTGCACTATACGACGACGCTGAATACCCTGCTGCAGGAGAAGGGCACGCTGCTGTGCGAGCTGTTCGAGGGGCCCGAGGGGCGCGACTCCCTGGCCAAGGACAGCAAGGGCCGTTATTTTGTGGACCGCGACGGCGTCCTCTTCCGCTACATACTGGACTTTTTGCGCGACAAGGCCTTGAATCTGCCGGAGGGCTTCCGCGAACGGCAGCGCCTGCTGCGCGAGGCGGAGCACTTCAAGCTGACGGCGATGCTGGAGTGCATTCGCGGCGATCGGGATGCCCGCCCACCGGGCTGCATCACAATCGGCTATCGCGGCAGCTTCCAGTTCGGCAAGGACGGCCTGGCCGACGTCAAGTTCCGCAAGCTGTCGCGGATTCTGGTCTGTGGTCGGGTGGCGCAGTGCCGCGAGGTGTTTGGCGACACGCTGAACGAGTCCCGGGATCCGGACCATGGTGGCCCGGACCGTTACACGTCGCGCTTCTTCCTCAAGCACTGCTTCATCGAGCAGGCGTTCGACAATCTGCACGAGCACGGCTATCGCATGGCCGGCAGCTGCGGCTCCGGCACGGCTGGCTCCGCGGCAGAGCCCAAGCCCGGCGTAGACACGGAGGAGAATCGCTGGAATCATTACAATGAATTTGTCTTCATACGGGATTAAGCAGAGCTGACGGGTTTCCTATAATCTTCTTAAGCTTGTGATACGATCCAAAAGTAAAAGTCAAAACGCCTCCTGCCAAGGCAACGGACAAGTATTAACGAAATCGATAAGTTCTATATACGTATATATTGTTTTTTACAAATTCATTTTCTTTTGTATGGGAACAAATCTGAGTAGCTCTTCCGAGCATCGAGAGAGACTTTAGAGTATGGTCTAGAAAGCATCCCAATATCTGGCATGATTTAAGCCCACCTTAATATATGTATATTCAAACATGAGAGCATCTCAAGCGTAAACATTAAGTAAACAATTCCCTCACAGGCAAACACCCGAGAACAATCCAAGCAGAAGCCCATTTATTTACCAATCAATCAAAGCTAATGAAATATACGAGAAATTATGGAATCCTATAAAGACAGGCTGATGAATAATAACCTTCGAAATTTACGCCTATGAAAGATGCGTAAAAGGCTAAACAGAAACCGAAACAGAAACAGGAAACTCGGAAATTTCGAAACTTGAAAATTTTAGAATTTTGAATTGAGCAATGAGCGAGCTAATGAAAGAAACCAGAAGCAAACAAACAAACAGACGTAATTTGAAGAAAATCTAGAAATAAATTTACAACAAGAACACATAACAAATTTATACTTATATAAGGTAGGGCCAGATTTGGAAGATTTATCAGCGATCTTACGGCCACAACTACAACAAGGAACTATTTAAATACGGGTCACAACCAAAATAATGGAAAATCAGTAAAGGAAAATTTACTTTTAACGACTTCTTACTCACACCGATTAAGAGAATTGCAAACTTAGAGTATTAGACTATTCGATAACAAATGTACTCCACAAATAGTTCAAGCATTAAAGTAATTAGCAAAATCAATTTCAATATTATATTAAATACATACATATATATATATGTTATATATGTATATATCATAGTACAACAACAGTAATACGGCTCTAGATGTGAGTGTGCGTCCGGAGATGCCCTGAACCCTGAGCTAGGTCATAAAATTGTGCTGCGAATGCCAGGTTTTTGTTGTTGTTGAGTTTTTGAAAAAACAAATTTACCTACCATTGCTCCTGAAATTTAGAAATATATATTTCAAATTTAAAACTTTTGGCATCTATAGTTTTCGAGAAAAACGCTTTCAGAGGCAGGATAGGCTCTGAATACCTGTTTGAGCTATGCCATGACTTTTACTTTGTTCCTTTGAGAGAGGACTTTATGCTATCGAGCACTTCTATCCGATACATATACACAGAAACCCGTTTTAGCACCTGGGCTCAGGGCAGATAAGCCACACCGGAAAATATTTGAAATGCTTTGGAAAATAGATAATTGAGAATTTAGTCAGGATAATGGATGAAATTAAAAATATTTAAAAATCGAATACAATTTAATAAGTATATATGTATATCTTGCCAAATGTAAGCTCTATAAAAGATTGTCATCCAATTGTCAGTAAATCAATGAAATTCTTTTAGCTTTTATTTGCATTCAATTAAAAATTGGCATAGAGAAAATCAATGGATCAGAATTTATAGATATATTTATTACGTTTACAAATATCAAATTTTAATAGGTTTTACTATAATTTGAATATCATAATTTTTAATAATTTATTGAAACTTTAGCGGCTTTAAGGAATGAAGTATTATATAGTTATATATATTTATGGCTTATCACATATTAATATATTTTATCTCTGTCTTCTACTCGATTTGTTAAATATGTGTTATATATATCATGAAATATTCGATCTGATAAACTTCCATTAAATAAAATTTGCTGAAATAAAGTAAAGAAAAAAAATTAATAATAAATTTATTGTTTCAACTTGAAACCAGATAACAATCAAACTATATAAAATATCAACGATCTTAAAAATAAATTTAAAACAAGTAAGAAGGCTCCAGTCGAGACTGCTCGACTGGGAGATACCCTGAACCCTCCAAGCTGATATTCTAATCATTCTGCACTTCTTCTATGCACACATACATACACATGCACTTATAAGCACGCGCTCTGCTAACTGCGCAGTAAGCAGCGGCTACGCTTGGGCTGCGCTGCAATGTGGGCAATATTATGAGAATTTATTAGTTGAATAATTTCTCTTGTAGTAAGAGTATCTTTATGAAACTTTCAGAATGTGTTTATATAGTTAAAATGTGTGTACATTCCAAAGCACAAATCTCTAGTACTTGAAATGCGTTTTTTACAAATTGGGGGCGAAGGGGGCGTGGTATCCAAAATCTGTAAATTACAAAATCTTTGTGTCTATTAACTCTATATACAACGCAAATTTGAAGTCTCCTGGTTGAAAAGTGTTCAAATTAGGCTGAAAAAACAATGACGATTTTTCGATTATTCTCGATAAAAAAGTTATCGGATGAGTTATCGAAAAAATAAAGCAAACTCGTACTGCCTATGATATACACGAGTATGCATGCCAAATTTCAGCTCTCTAGCTCTTATAACTTCTGAGATCCTTTTGCTCATACGGACGGACGGACGGACGGACGGACGGAGGGACGGACGGACGGACGGACGGACGGACGGACAGACGGACAGGGCTATATCGACTCAGCTCGTCGTCCTGATCAAGAATATATATACTTTATGGGGTCTGCGATGATTCCTTCTGCCTGTTACATACTTTTCACAAAACCATTATACCCTGATTTCCCATTTTCAATGGGTTCAGGGTATAAAAAGTTATAATAATAAAGAAAATTTTTATTTATGATTTTCGGTTTAGCGCAAAGTAAAAAATTTTGAAAAATTCTTGGAAGAACAAATAAAAATGTGTAAAAATCGAAATCGTATGCAAATCAATTGTCGATATTGAATATATATGATATATATATAAATATGTATATCTATAAATGTTTAGTATTAAGTTCAAAGTGCATTGAATGAGTATTTGAGTAAAAGTAAAAGAAGCAGAAGATATGAACAATGTATTAATGAGCTCCAAAAACGAAATAAAAACTAAAATGTATTATGAATCCAAATGTAGACGCTATGTAGAGGTCAACAACAAGTTTATCAAAGTGCGAACAAAACAAAAGCTAACACTATGTAAAAATATGAATAATATATGTAATACCAATAAAAATAACTATAACATTAGATATGGCATTATTTCAATTGAGTTGTAGATTATGGAAGGTGTCTGAATTTGGTGACTCTGGGAAGACTAGGTACTACCTTGACGGAGGTCCTTCAACTCCTCATAAGAAATCTTCAAAAAGCAAACGCTTTTGTTCAGAAAATCAAATACCAATTCAAAAAAGAAATTTTATATTGTTCTATATTAGTATATAAAAATAAATATTTCAAATTTCAAGACCATAGCTCTTATAGTTCTCGAGAAATTGAGAAGACACTGGGCGAAAGCCAAATAAGCTTGAAGACGGATAATATAACAGGTAATCTGCCCCGCCTCCTCCTATGTAATACATTATGCCTTAACCCATATATCCTTATAGCCCAAGGCCCAATGGAATATATAATGCGAGGATGGATGGGCGATGACCACGCTCTGTCCACAAATTCAATTTGGCAATTTAATTGGCAGTGCTTTCAGTCAGCTCGACACGGCTCTAATTAGATATTTATGACATTTCATTTATTCATTGTTGCAATCAAATTTATGAACTGTTCGCACTACTCGCACAAAAAACAAAAAAAAAATAAAAAAATAAAAAAAAAAAACAAAAAAAAAAGCAACAAAAAACTCATTAGTGCATGAATAATGCAGGAAACGTTGAACAGTCGGCCATAAAGAGGTGCATGAGGCTGGCTGGGAATCGCCCCGCAAATGTCGAAGGCAGTGAAACGGCAACAAACAAATAATTTAAATAACTGAAAAGGCAGCGAGATGAAAAAGCGACAACAATCTGGCATTTGTTTAAATTCAAGGCAGACTACAATCATTTACTTACACACAGCTAGTCGAGTGCGAGGAAGCGACAGCGACAGCGACAGCGGGAGCAGGCGTGGCACAAAGACCATCCACTCCCCACTCCCCACGCCCCACGCCCCAAGTCCTATCGGCACGCGCGCATCGCCCAGCTTAGATCCAACAGCAGCAGAGCCAACAACGAGCTATGACTAGTGCTAATAAGTATAAGTGCTCCAGTCGGGTGTGCCTGACTAGCAATTATCCTGACCTATTAACGCAACTCATCTCTCTATGTGACTGTGTGTGTGTGAGTGTGGCACATATGTACAGCTTAGACCAATCCTCTGGGTGAAAATATAGTAGCATATGTGTGCAACTCTTATACTCTTCAAATGCTATACTCTTTTGCTGCATATATTAAAGTCTCGAGAATATAATCATACGCTAATAATCATACTCTAATACAGTTATATTTATAATAGTCTTCTCATATAAAATTTTAGGTTTTGAACTAGTATTCGTATACCTTTTATATTTAAACTTTAATACTCTTATACTATTATATTTGTATAATGCTGTAATATTATATATGTATATCATATACCTTTAAATTTACATATAGCTATACGCTTTTACTATCTACACTTGACTCTTACATATTTATACTCTAGCACAACTTAAAGAATATCAGAATATCTTATAAGTATATATAGGTATTCGTATATCTCTGTTTCTCTTTTAACATTATAATCTTATGCTCTTCTACTTTAGCTGTTGATCTTTATAACAAACCACAGCATCCCCGCCTCCTTCTGCCTGTTACATACATACGCACATAACCAATATACCCTGCTCATATTATATCAATGGATTTGTAGTATGAAAATGTTGAAATTAAACGAGAAAAGGCAAATGCTGAATGTGTATGAGTGCGTGAGTGCGTGAGTGTGTGAGTGTGTGTGTGGGTGCGTGTTGAAGTATGCTTCAGATCTAAAGCCAAAGCCAAAGCCAAAGCCAAAGCAAATGGAGCAAGTGCAAAGACGAAGGAAAAGAAACTGCAGCGCTCGTCCTCTTTGAAATCAGGAAGCATTAGGCAGTGAAAGACAGACGAGTGGATGGATAGGTGTGGGTACAGGTGTGCGACTGTGCTGTGCTGATGTGTGTGTGTGAGTGGGTCGCTGCCTGCGTCAGCTGCATACTAAGCACCTTCTACCTGAGGCGACTCACGTACTGCGCTTCTTTTCTTTTTTTTGAGGGGGTTCTGTTTATTGACTATATATGCCCAGGACTAACACAATATGCAAAGTGCGCAGATGTCAGGCACAGCGAAAAATCCAAACCCAAAAATAAAGAAACGAAAAGGTTAGATATACGCATATAAATTACAGACAGCCACGCCCATAAATTCAGATGAGGCGTAACAGTCTGTGAGCGTATGGAGATGAAATGATGCCTTTTTGTCTTTTACGCTAAATTACCTTGATTTGATTTGGCCAGGACGTCACCAGGCAGGCCTTCTCCGTCCGTCCGTCTTCATTATCAACGGCAGCGCCAACTAAGCCGGCAACAAGGCAACAATGTTGCTGATGCCACCTGTCTTTGTCTCTGTCTCTCTCTGTGTGTCGCCCTGTCTGTCTGTCACCTTCAATTAGTTTCAGCCCCAGCAGGGCTAATGCCGAGCACAAGGCTCCATCAGCTGCCTTATTAATTCATAAATACGCATTTGCGCCTAGGTCGTGGCGAAAGACGCTTTAAATTTATGTCAGCGAACTGAAGCGAGCGACTCTCCCCCTCCCCCTGTCAACCACTTTGTTAGCCCTTTAGCTGAAGCTGAAGCACTCTTTGGCCAAGGCGCAAATATAGCATTAATTTACCGTTAGCTCACGCTCACCCTCACACACTCACTCCCAATGCCAAGATGAGTCATTTTCAGTTATACACGGAAGTGAAGTGGAAAGTGGCGAAAAGGTACACTTTCACCCTTCATGATGGGCCTAATTTGAGATATTCGCATCGCATCCCATAGCATCGCCCCGCATTAATTGACATTAAAAACTTTTTAATTGAAAAGGCTGAAGGCTGAAGCGTGGCGCTTATGACAGTTCACAGCACTCAAAGCGCTAAGTAGGCGTTGCTCACTGAATGCGCTCATATGCTGCACATTTCATCAGCCAACTGAAAGTTTAGCTGAAAGCTCTTCACTTAAAACTGCATTAAAAAACTTCGCCAAGCGGGGATTGAACCTCGCACCACAAGCACAGCTTAGCTTTTGCGTGTGCGTGTCACACTAAGTCACTGCACTGCTTCTGCAAGACAGAAGCTTGCGTGCGAGAGCGAAACAATTAATCTATAAATAGACAAGGAAAGAGTGATAAGCATTACGTTTTTACAGTGTTTTACATTAATTGTGAATAGCTATGTAAAAAAATGCTCTCGACTTATGAAAATTTAACTAAACAAAATTTTATAAATTTAAAGCTTAGTAAATTTTGTAGAGTTCATTAAACGACGATTGAACCTCCAACAACAAGCAGGGCGTGTGCGCACGCGATGGCAAGAGCCAAGGCTTTAAGGAAGTGAAAAAAAAAAACATTCTATAAATAGACAATAAGTCAAAGGAGAGCAGTTAACATTTATTTAGTTGTCAACAGAGGAAGACAAAAACTGTGTTTGTAAAGTAACTTGAAAAATGTTTAAAAAAAAAAAAAAAAAAAAAAAATCAATTAACATTTAATGGAATTTCGTTGCCCAAATTCCTAAGCGGGGTTTGAGCCCGAATCACAAAACATGGCGTATATGCCAACACTTGGCGCACATATAGGATCTTCCCTTTAAGAAAAACCATTTTGTATAAATAGACAAATAGACGGAGCAGTGGAATTCCACAGTTGTTAACAGCTGGAAGAAAGTATTTAACATAAAGGGCAAATAGCCTTGGCCGAAATAGCGGCTGGCTTCAGAACGCAAACACGCCTTAGATTAATTAA